ATAGATCATGGGAGTCCCCAAGCTGATGGTGGGAATTGATAGCAGGATGAAAACTTAGCACCAGCATGAAAGACCACTGTCCTGCTCAGATTGAAGTAGGTAGGTCAACTAAGGATATATACTTCAAGAATGTGTATACTTCTTTGTGCCTGAAATGCTAGAGAGGAGGTAAAATAAATGACATAGGATTTGGTATGGAATGAGTACTAAGAACACACAGAAAACAAAACAAACTACAGCAGAGAAACCATAAATTTTAGCATAGATAATTATAGTTCACTGAAATTTATTATCATGAAAAAACAAGTTTCTTATTTATGAAAAATAATTTATTTGTTAGAAATTATGAGAAAATAACATATCTAAAGAAAAGTGTCAGAGAAATTAACTAGAAAATTATAGTTCCTTGTGTGGGACATGCATATAGAAAAAAAAATGCTTAACCTCATTAGTAGATTCTTCAAGAAAATATAAAATAAATGATTTATAGATAAAGCGTCCTAAATTTTAGTGCTAGAAACAATATGGTAACTTATACTTTTTAACATGTTTACATTAACAAAATTCTATTTAAAAAATGACTGTAAATGAGATGAGGCCTAGTATTTCCAAGGTGCTATTTTGTCCACATAGATTTTAAATTTCAACAGCTGATGTTTCTACTTCATATAAGTGATTGCCCCCAAATGTTTTTTTAAAAAATAAAATACGTATTTTCCTTTGGACTTGTTCATTTTCCAGAACCCATATTCTATTACCCATGTACAAGACAATAGCCAGGACAGTCCAATGATAAGCCCATTGTAACAGTAATTACATTTGCTGAAAAGAAGAAAAGAAGACTGTTTATTTCATCCTTTCTTTGCATTGGCTGGTATTTGGATTCAGCAAGTGGGATAGATTGTCTGAAACCCTGTAAAATTCCATTACTATATTATTTTAGAAGGTAAAACTATTGAAGGAAATATTAAATGAGTGAAGCTGTTTTTGAAAAAATATACGTTTCTGATTTAACAATTTAGGTTATTATGAACATTGTGTTGTCTTGTTCAGTTGTTTTATTTTATGTCTCCTATTTGCAGTATCTTATCCAATAAAAAATTTGAGTTTTTTATTAAACATTTTACAGATATTTGCTGCATTTCAATAAGATAGGAGACACTAATTTAGACATTTTTGAGGTTTTTAATGTATAAATTTTATGAAATTATTGCCCCAAAGGACTAAGTTTTCTGATAGACATAGACAAACCAAAAATTTAAATGAAAAACATATGTTATGTTAAATCATGATATGTACTTTGCATAATATTTACTTTTAAAAATGAGAAAGGGGCAATGGGGTATGAGTTTGCAATTTTAAATAGACTGTCTCACATAGTTCTCATTAAAAACCTGTAATTTGAAAATGAATTTAAAATAACTAGAAAGTTAATTTCAGAAATAGCTTCAGAAAGATTGTTCCAAGGAGAATGATCAAACTGTGCAATAGCATTTGTCCTTTGGCATTTTTGAGGAGCTCAGAATATCTGAGATGAAATGAGTTAATGAAATAGAAGTGAGATCAGAGAGGTAATGCAAACCTAATCTGATAGGTCCTTAGAGACTATTGTGAAGACTTACACTGCAAATGAACAACTTACAAGTTTTTATAGAGAAATGAGATGCTCAGACTTTCCTAATTAAATAAAAAGAAAAATAAATAAATATATGTATGTATACATATGTGTAAACTAAAATAGATGGTAGGGGCACAGCTGGTAAGAATGAGTTCTTAATATTGCAATAAGCTAGATAATAGTATTAGCTTTCTGGTAGCAGATGTGATCAAAAGTCACTGTGGGTGAGAACAGAATGCAAGAAAAAGATAACCCAATTCTTTTGCTCTGGGTAATTATCATAGAATTCTCATCAGGTGAGCTGCCATCGACTAGACGTGTATAATTGTTGTGGGTCAGGGTGATGGTACAGAAAATATAGATGTGATGATTAGAAGCTAAAATCTGGACACATTAATTTTTAAATGTTTATTTGAAATGTGGAATAGCTATTTGGATATATGCTTTACTAGAAGGAGGTGAAGAAGGGAAGTGTAAATTTGAGAGCTCCAAACTGAATGATGTATATCTCAGTTGAACTATAGATATAGATATAGATGTAAATGATAACTGGGAGACTGCATCTGATGACTAAGGGCCAGAATCGAAGCACCAAAGAAAAAGACTAGGGTCAGAAACACTTCAAGATACTGAAAAAAAGGAGAAGGAACCAGCTAAGAAGACCAAGTAAAATAAAAGAATCATCAAAATAATAAAGGATCCTGAAAAGTCAGTTTTACTTAAAACAAGGGAGGAGTGGTCAACATCCACCTTAGTGCTTAGGAGTCACTGTCACTCTTTTTCTTATTTGTTTGCTTGCTTTTTAATTGTTATGCCATTTTATTTACTTATATAAGGGTGATATCTAAGTTATTGGGATCTAGTCTATATGTCTGAGAGCAACAATGAACAAATAATGTTTGCTCTGAATATAAAAGTTCAAATAATGTAGATAATTGATTCACATGGAAGCATACCCAGATATAATACATTTTTTTCCTGAAAATTATTGAACATTCTAAATAAAATAGTGAAATAATGTTTTAATTATATCTGGTAGAAACTATTCAAATGATTTTAAATTTATCTTACGTTTACATATTCAAAGCTAATTAATTGTTTTATTTAACAAGTAAGTAAAGATAAGGAATAAATATGCTTCAATTTAACAAGTACACAGTCCATGGAAATCCAGTGATAAAAAACTCATATTACTGGATATATTGCGTGCATTTAGTGACATAAAATTATTTATACCACGCATAGTAAACTTATTATGTGTATTTTCTGGAGAAATTTAATAATTTCTCTTTAGTTCATCAGCATGAGAATACTAAAACCTTGTCCTTCTGTCTCTTAAATTCATCTTTCTTGCTAAAGAAATTCTGAACATCTTTGAAAAATTCTAGGAAATGCTAGAGTTAGATCTGGTAATTTCTTTAATTAAATCAAATTCTGATTAGAGCATCTGCTAAGTATATTAAATATAAAATCTGTTAGGTACTTTCTTTTTTTAAATGGTATATTGGTAATTTCATAATCAAGGAAAGAGAAAACTCTGATACTAACTCATAAATTAATTGACACAAAAAATGGTAGTTGAATTAACATTGCTAAAATATCAAGTTTAAAATTTGCTCTGTCTTATTCTATCTGGTATCAATGTGACTATTTCAAAGCAATTTAAGTCTACAACTTGAAGGTACCCTGGTTTATTGTGGTGCTCATAATAATTTAAACATTAAGTTGACTGTTTAGTGTGTAGTAGCTGTTGCTAATGAAGTTATTGAGTTAGTCTTCAGAAATTTTCCAAAAGAGTTACATAATAACACATACCTATCTGCTTGAAATTTGTGAAATATTTACTATTTTCAGCCTTGACAACAGAAGAGTCAATTGTCAATTTCTCCCATATTAATTCCACCTGTGAATTACCATTGTCTGGCATGTGCTCCTTAAAAGATGAATAATTAAAGAAAACAAATAATATTTGCCAGAGAAAATAGATAGCGTGTAGTCTCCCTGTGACTATTTTGATTTAGGTTTTACATGCTGGTGAAGTCAGTACATTGATAAAAAGCAGATAATACAAGGTCAAGTTTTCTGCATGGCAGTCTTTCAAAGATTTGCAAATGATTTTCATGCAGGAACCTTTTCCTTCTTCCTGCCTATGTCTTAGTGTGCCTATATTTGGTTCTTTAGACAATCTTAACCTTTATTAAGCACCATAAGATCCTTTTAGATTTTATTTCTACAAGTCCTTAGCTCTTTCAATATTCCCTCAAATACATAACTCTTAGCCACAGTAAAATAATTAATTTTTAAACACCCTATAGTTTGTCAATATTAATTTTGAATTATTACCCCAGACTCACCAAGTATTTCATGAATTATTCAATCAAAGCCCCCCCCCCCCAAAAAAAAAAAAAACAACAAAAACAAAGAAGAGAGATTAAGGTTTTTCTCTTCTACATAAGATCACTGACATTTCATTTACTATAAATACAATCCAATGGTTGATAAAGACTTGAAAAAAACTTAATTTATTATCCACAACTATATATTTGTGTGTGTGTATATATATGTATATATATATATATATAATACTTTATATTTCCAAAGTATCTCATATTCTTCCATGCATAGACTTCAGTGGTTCAATAAACATTTGTCGATATTTAAGTAATTAAAACAACAAATAACAATTCGTACCAAAGATCATTTATAATTCCACCTCACTTTAGTACCAAATTCCAAGCAGTAACTTCTTAACTGCTTTTTCCCTGAGTAAATCATACTTTACACTTAAAGATGTAAAGCATTCATGTCTTAAGTGAGATCAGACTGCCTCTATGGATTAAATAAAATGAAATTTATTTTTTATAAATACTAGTTTATTTCAAAAATACAAAAATATAAATATACATTTATAAAAATATGAATGAATTAACACAAAGACATTCTTCAACTAAATAAATATGGCAGTAGTAGTCATTCCTTTTTCATCAGCGATATATATTTTCTATATTATTTTACAAAGCAGTTGCACAATGTTTAATTTAATAGTAAAGGTGACTGAAAGTCAGTTAAGAAAGCATTTATAAAGTTTTTATACCTAAGAAAAGGCACAAAAAGCCTTTTAAATATTTTTATTGATTATTAATGTGATATAATTTCCTTCCAAGGTTATTAGGCAAAGAGGGTGAACTGGTTATTATTACTGTTTTAAAATCTATATCATTCATAATCATTCACAGAAACTTACTGGTTAAGCAAACCCTTACTAAGACAACACCTACGTATTGTTTGTAATTTCAATTTTTGAAAAAATTCCTCCAAGGAGGAGAATGCAGGCCACTCATTCTAGTAACGAAGACAGTTTCACTAATATTAAGTAATATGCTTAGTCTCGGTCACTTTCATCACCCCCATACATATCAGCCAGTTTTTTAAAACGAGGACCCCAGTCGCTGAGGTAATCATAATCCTGGTTACAATCAGCTGTGAGAGATTCTAAGGAACTGAGTGAATCTGCTATGGAATCATTCCCTTCATAGGCATACGTTGCCAGTGAATCATAAGGAGGTGCACTTGGGTCTGAGTCGTTTTCTTTTAATCTTCGATGGATAAAATCTTGTACATCAATATTTTCCCATAGGGGTACAGTCCTCCTTATCTGAAAAATAGTTTCAGGCATTACATCTCTTCTAAGTTTACTGTCTTCTCTTGCTTCTGGATTTCTTAATGTGCCAATGTCAAAAGCCTGTGTATCTTCTTCCCCACCGCCTTCGTCATTGTACGTCACAATATTGTCGCGGACATCATCCTTTGAAATTATGAGAGGTTCCTTTTTTCTTTGTCTCTTCAATGCAGCAAACAGCACGACTAAAACTATTTAAAAACATGAGAAAATAGTGAGGTTTCATGATGCGAGGTAAAACAGCATGCATACTTCAGTGTGTGGAAGTTTGTGAGACTGATTGGCAGGAGGAGTATCCTGTACAAGCACAGAGTGCCTTGGGCCAATGAATGGATGCAGTACATTGATAAAAAGCAGATAATACAAGGTCAATTCACTTTTAAGGTCTATGGGCCTCTGATATTGAAAAATATTGTTTAATCTGACACATCACTCCTTGAGAATGCACATATGATTCCAAATACAGACATGTTGAAGCACCAGTTGCTTTTATCTCAAGAGAATTTTTGCAGCTATTGAATATTTTCTCAATGACCCAAGGCAATATATACAAATCATTTACTCATCTATAGATGAATATATGCTTATATTTGCATTATAGTCTTATATTATGTGTGTGTGTTTATAAACACACATAAGAACATTAATATGTATGAACTACTGATTTAATCCTATTCCAAATTGGGCCATTTTACTAAATCTTTAATTGGTCTGGTTTTGAATGTCTGCTCAAAATTTGAAATAAATTCCAACTGCTACATTACAATAGTTAAGCTCAAGCATATCTTTAACTTGTACCTATCTTAAATATTATCATGACAGCTTAAATATTATCTTGAGCAAGGACTTCCATGATTTTTTAAGGAGTTGCATTTAAACTTTGAGACTTAATTGTTAATAGTATTCTCTCTACTTGTATGTTGTTATTATTTACATACTTTTGCTTTAAAGTTAACTGTGGACTTCCTCATATAGTATACTGTATTATTTATAGCAAGAGAACTTGTACTTAAATTGTTATTTACTTGTTTGACAATGACTCTTTCTCAACAAATATATGCTGTAGTCAATAAAATTCATTTTAAGAAAACGAAAAACTCCTTGTGATTTCCAAAATATATATCTTCTATTGTAAAGAGACCAACTTTGTAATTTTACATATAAGTTACACAAGAACTAATGAAAGAAAACTTCTCCAAAACATTTAAATATTACTTCAGAGAAATAACAGCTACATTTACTTTAGTTGAGAGCAGCTAAATATATTGACAAAATTATTTATGTTTCATTGTATAAGAAAATATTTTCTTAAAAATTACCATTCTTTGTTAATATGTCCAATGTCATTTTTATATTGGCCAGCATGCTTTCCTTTGCTCTTCCTAATTAATAGACTTTTATAATAATAATTAGAAGCATCTTAAGTTAACCTCATCAGAAAGAGCTTCAGGTGTTGAGTTCAGGATCATCTTGGAGACATTTTTAAAAAATAATTATTTTGTAAAAATGAGATATATCTGTATTTGCTCCTATTAAAGGACAACATAAGATTAATTGAGTCCCAAATAGATCTAACATCCATCAAATTGAGCCATAACTAGGAAAAAAAAAACAGTTCTTTCTAATTTTAATATTCAAGGATAATTTTAAATTTCTTTAATTTTGGTAAATAGCATAATAAGCATATAGTAAATTTATCTTAAAGTTTACCTATAAATGTTTACTAAAATTTGTAAGTAGATTTGAGAGACATTTTATAGTTTTCTTTTTCTCCTTTGGCAGAAAAAAATTTATTTTCTTCATTTCCTATATTAAAGTTAATAATTAAGGATATGGAATTGGAATTCAGAGAAGCTAGGATAAAGAGCGGTGAAAAATGTTTGAACACTTTTAGTAAGCTGAAACTGTAATTTAGCATTTTTTTCCTTTCTTACCATAGTAAATAATATTCAAAATTATAGTAGCAGCGTTTGTGACTATTAAACCAATAGAAATCACAGATACTTTATATTGCATTTCAAGTATGACAGCTATCCTCAAACTATATTTAAACTTTCTCTACAAAGGAATAATTCAATAAGCAAACAAATTCTGATTTTTGCTTGTTTCTTGAATTTAGTTAGACATCTTATTTTCTTCTGATTCATTCTTATAAAGTTATATATTTATAGATTCACTTATTTGCAGTACTGTGAATTGAACCCAGGCCCTCAAGCATGCCAGGCAAGCACTCTACTACTGAGCTACATCCCAAAGGTCTCAACTATTTAAACTGTTCTGAAAAAATTAAAAAGATTCATCAGACTGTCAAAGTGGTACTGGGAATGAAAACTTTTATAAAGCTCTGTCCTAAAGTTTTAATCATGCCCCCACCAGCATAGAGAGAAACTAAGGACTGCATTTCTTCAAAATTATCAGCACAGATGTGAAATATTTCCCATTCTGTCTTACAAAGTGCTAACTTTTAACTATAGAAATGCAGTAACTATGTCTGGCCATTACTATAAAGACTTGAAATAACAGCAAGAATGTTTTAGTAATTTTGATAATGAAACCTGCATTACAAGCAATTTTAACTAAATGATACAAAATCATTCCATATTTAAGTAATATATTGGGAAGGTGAAAAATAAATATGTGTCTTCTATATTTCTCCAGGAAGAATGGTGACAGATTCTTTTTTTTCTTCAGAATAATAATAAAAACTTTGTAGGATTTCTGCATAGCAAAAATGTTTTTAAAATGTTTTAAATGATTGTATTTGAATATCAGAATATTTGGTGGATGTTTTGTTCTATCATATGTGCATAAATATCTTTGTGTGTGTACTACATTAATATAGAAATTTTATAAATTGCAATATACATATATTTACCTTATTTTAAATTAGGAAAGTAGAACTGTCTAAGCTATAAAATCAGTAAGAGCTAAAAGGGTAAACCAAATTTAAATCTCCACAGGGCTTCAAAAATATTTTATAGAGGACCTGAACTTTCTAGCAGCAGGTGAGGATGGGAACTGCTCATGGTTATGGTGGTAGTGCCTGTGTTCTCATCTTGGAGAATTTTTTTTTTCTAGATATTTGGATCATCTTAACTGAGACAAATGTTTTCTCCTCACTTTCATCAATCCCCCAGTGAAGTCCTGCAAGGATATCTGGCCAAAGGGATTTCATCCAGATAGCTTGAAAGGATTTGCAATGAAAAGAAGCCAGCATATATGAGCATTAGAATATAAATTTGGCTTTCTCTCTTGCCCTACGCATAAAAATTTTGGATGAATATTTGATGGAAATAATTTTTTGGAGTGTTTTGCAGTGAAACAACTGTTTAATTGAATTAAATTGTTGTACTGTTAGTGTATGCTCAAATAAAACATTTGCTACTGGAAGCACAAATTTATTTAGAAAACATTGTAGGGTAAGTATACCACAGGGTCACAGTGATATTTAAAAACTGAAATTTAAATTTTTAATTTGGTGCATTGCATCTATATATAGAAAGTATTATGAGGAAAATGTTCTATTTTGACAACTTTTATAAATTTGCCAATTGTGTGGGTATGTATGTATGTATGTATATGTATATCTATATAGATAATATGTATGTATTTGTTGGCATATATAAATGTAAGTATAAATATTTGTTAGTAATATTATTTGTAAAGATAAAACAATCTTCAGTTTTGAAAATAATAGAAAAGAGTATTCTAAAATAGACTCAACTATTTTAATGCCAGTATAAAAACACTTTCTGAAGAGTGATTTTGGCATGTTACATAACCATTCAGTAGAAGTATAAACGTTTTACCTGATGAAGTTGATACAACGATTAGATCAGCTTATTAAATCAATTGCCCTTTGCAAAGTAACCATAATCAGAGAAATAACAGTTAATGCCATAAAATGTTGTAAAAATATGTATGTAGCATTTGTTTTATATTTGTGTTTTTTACTGTTTTTTTTATGAGTACATTGTAACATAGATACCTGCAAATAACATAATTTATCCCATTTCCCTCCCAAGAACTTTCTCTGTTATTGACCTCTAGAAAACTTAAACTAACCACACAGATAAAAGCTAGAATTACTTTTTTTTTTTCTCATGGAAAAGCTAATTTTGATAAATGTTAAGATGCTTCACCATTAGCTCTGGAGGAGAGTGTTACTTTGTGCACAATTCCTGGACAATGAAGGAGAGAATTATGGGTTCACTGAGCATTGAGAGGGGCATAGCTTACTGAGAAGTATGAGGACACACAGCAGGATGGCGATAAGAGCTCCTGTGCTCAGGCCCGCTGAGAGGACCAAGGCCTCTGCGTTGCAGGATTGCATGTTCCCTTGATTGTCACAGGCACACACCCGAATAGTGAGTGTGCCAGTGCTGCTTTGAATAGGATAATCATTGTCAAAAATTAAAATTGGCAGTAGGTAGGTGCTCATTTTGTTGCGGCTGTACCCATCTTTGCGAGTCATAATTCCTGCTGTATTATCTGGGGGAGAAATTGAAAATATTTCACACTTTTGTAGTTTTCCATCTTAAGGTTTCAAAATTTTTGTTTTTAAAATTTTTTCTATTACCTTTATTGTCTACAATGGTGAAGTTTGGATTGAGAGGAAATTCTGGTACTGGCTCAAAGAAGAATTTGTGGCCTCGGGGAGGGTCATCTTTGTCCATAACACTGACAGTCTGAATTAGCTGAAAGCAAAACAAATGCATATATTTAACAAAACAAAACTAAAAGTAGCCATCTTTTTTAATTAAAAAAATATTTTAAGTCCATGGTTTCATGCTTTGAATTTTGAGTTTGTCACTAAACTTAAGAAACAAAAAAAGTCTTTTTTAGTAAACCATGCCAAGGTGTTTTGTAAAGGTTTTGTCCAAGATAATATTTAATTAATAAATAAAAATGTTTATCTGTATTGTTATTACTTGTCAGTGCTTCTCAAGGATTCATCATCTGTTTCCTTGCCACTGAAACAATGAACTTAAAAAAAATCAAACAAACAAACATGTGATCAGTTCAATAAGTATCCTCTTTTGTCGTCTTGTAAAGCACCAGCCTATTTTATTAGTATTTGGTTCCTAACCCCTTTCGTCCACTAGAAAATGTTTTCTCAAAGGAAGAAATCATACAAGATTCCTTTTAAAAATATAACTTTTTACCACAATTTCAAATCAAGAATACTATTAATATGTTTCCAGACAAGTGAACTCTTCATCGCATACTATCATAAAGAAAAAGATTTTACAGCTATGTGCATTATTGCAACATATTGCATATTTAATTCAGATTGCTTGCCTTTCTTTTAATGTTGTTTGTAAAGATAAATTCATAAAAAAAATGCTTCTCAAGTATTGTGAAATCATTTTGGAAGTTGCAAAATTAGGACCCTCTTTGCTGAGCACATAATAATTCTGAAGTGTGGCATAAAGGAAGATGGAGCAGCAAGCACTAGTTTGGGAGGAAAAATCCAATTGAGAACTTCATAACACAAAAGGCACCAAGCTACATATCAATGTTCTGTTTTCCTTGTTCTGGTTCTGCCATCTGTGTGATATGAAATTAAAGTCATGTAATTATGCTTACTTTCAGTTTTCTCTTCTAGAAAAATAAACAGTTGTGCCATTTCCAGGTGTACTAGTCCAATATTCAGTGGTGAACAATTATTGAATTTCACAATAATTTTAAACATTTTTGGTTTTTGTGTACCTATTATAGCCATACCATTTACAACTCCTAGTCAATACTCTTCTACTTTAACTTCATATTACATATGAGTTCATTCATTTTATTGATAGATTAACATGTGACTTTGTGTTTCTTTGTATGAGGCTTCTGAAAGTGCACAATTGTTAATACAAAATTAATAATCGTTTTCCCTTAGAAAATTGAAGCACAATATTTTAAAAAATCACAAAACATTTAATATTATTGCTCAACCTCCTGATCCTGAATAATAATAATAAATCTTATTTGTAGAACTATTCTTAATCATTAAAAAATCTTGGTCCTTTAATTGCATGACTTATGTTCTTCAAATGATTTGATGGGCTTTATATTTTAGGAACTATGTTTTATTTTTATCTTTGTTGATTTAATGAAACAGTAAGAATATATATTAAATAATTATAATTATTATCAATCATACTTTGTATCTAATTTTAGTATGCATTGTATCAGTAATTCATATGAATCAATAAAATATAGCACACTAATATATAAATGAGTAAAGAACACCTACTGATTCAGGTAGGTTCATTTGTGGTCCCCAAAAGATAAATTCCAGTCCTAAATCATATTACCTATAAATATGATCACAATTGGAACAAACTTTTCTGCAGATATTATCAAGTAAAAATTAAATCTTACTGGATGAGTGAGAGCTCTAATTCAATGACAGGAGTCGTCATAAAAACAGACAATTTTGAATATAGAAAGATTTACATCAATAATGCAATGTAGGGCTGGGGCTGTAGCTCATTGGTAGAGAGCCCACCTTGCACCTGTGAGGCATTGGGTTCAATCCTCAGCACCGCATAAAAGTAAATAAAGATATTGTGTCCAACTACAATTAATTTTTTTTTAAAGAGTACAATGTAATGATAGAGGTTGAGATTGGAAGTCCACACTCCAAGGAATGTCACAACATCATGGCAACCACAAGAAGCTTGGAAGTTAAGGAAGGATCCTACCTAAAACCTTCAGAGAGAGCATAGACTGGTGACAGATCAATATTGGAAATTTAATCTCTAGAATTATGAGAAAAATTATTCCGTGGTTTCTAATCATCTAGTATGTGGTAATTTTTCATGGCAACTCCAGGAACCTGATACAAGTGTGAAGATTTAAAAAAAAAAACATACATTTATGAAAACATTCAGCTTAAATGAGTTTGAAGAAATTTATACTAAACTCTCATGAGATATTTAGAAGTTCACAGACATTTAAAATCTAGAGTAATCCAAGTAAATAGGCAATCATAACTGTCAGAAGAATCCCTTAAATAATATTTGAAAATATTTGGCAGCATCTATTAATATTTATAGATTAATCATTCATACTTCAAAGCTTATAACAAAGAAAAATTATACCAGTAAGTAAAAATACATAATGTACTCTAGTGCTCATTATGATGCTCTCTGAAAGAATAAGATCTTATTGATTAAGTAAATGTCCATTAGTAGAAAAATAGTTTAGTAAGTTTACTAATGTGTGGCCATGCTATAAAAAAATAAACATCAAATAACAGTAATTATTACTGAACTGAGAACGTGGCCATTATCATGTACCAAAGTGGAAAAAGAAAAATGTTTTTGAACTGAAATAAGCATGTAATAAATCTATGTGAGTCAAAAAAGAAAAAAATAACCACTTCGCCTTATTTATTTATTTTTGAGACATCTTATTATGCTACCAAGACTAGCCTCAAATTCAGAATCCTAGGAGGAGTAGCTAGGATAATAGCTATCATTAGCTTTGATTATAGGCAGAGGCTACCATGCCTGGCTTCCATTGTAATTTTTGAGTGTATGTGGAAGTTGGAAAGTAGTTTCATCCTAGCCAGGATGCTGTAACAAAATGCTACAGACTGTGGCTTATACAAAAGAAATGTGTTTTCTCACAGTTCTTAAAGCTAGAAGTTGGAGATCAGCTTGCCAACATGGTTGGCTTCTTGTGAGAACTGTCCTCCTGCCTTATGTTTTGCTGTCTTTTCTTTGAGTATTCACATGGCATTTCCTGGGTTCATGAGCTCAGAGAGAAAGAGAAAACATGAGATCCCTGGTATGGCTCCTCATAAGAGCACTTGTTATATCAGATCAACATTTCTCATGACCCCAACTAACCTTAATTATTACTTTGGAGACCCTTTCTCCAAATTCACAACTGCAACATGTGAATGAATTGGGGGGGGGGCACAAACATTTAAAAATCTCAATTGAAATAAAAGAATGAGTGTTTTCCATTTTATTTTCTTAAATGGACATGGTGAAATTGTCGATGATTCTTACCATCTACATATTTTTGCCTTAAAGAAGTAACTGAATAACTCTTTAAATATACATGTAGATAGATAGGTAGATATAGAGTTGGTGTTCTTAGAAAATTCTGTTTGAATAAAAATTGGGCATATTGTGCATTTCTTTAAATTACTTTAGATATATTTGAAACATTACTTTGTAATTGGAATTTACAAGTCATTAACAATTTTTATTAATGAAAATTATAAATATAATTCATATTTTATAATAGAAAATTATAAATCACAAATATCATTTAGATCAAAACAAAAACTCCTGATTGAGCTATTTAAATCAGAAAAATGTAATAAAAATATTTATCATTATTCTAGTTAAAAGAGAAAATTTTTATTTTTATACTTCACATTTATCTAATAATGTACCTCCATACTTTAATGTATATAACTCAGCCTAATTATGAATCCAAATATGAACTTTGTATATATATATATATATATATATATATATATATATAGTTAGAGTCTGTAAACAAGTCAAGATGGCGCCTGGCATTTTGCCAGAGGGAGTGGTTTGTGAAGTAATGCCAGCAAGCCATTACGTGTGGAGATGACTGCTGTATCTAGTTTACGTTAATTAAGATAAGCTGTGTGGAATGTATATATACCCCTCCTGTCCTACAATAAACGGCTCCTACTCCTGCTGTATCAACGTACACAAGTTGTTCGTCACCCCCCGGTTATTTTGCTGGAGACGGACTGCGGCAATACATGATATTTATTATATGCCTGATGTATAAATTTTCACTATTATATTCTATTAGATTGACAATAAAAATGAGTTTAAAAAATAAATTTGGTTAGATCAAACAGAAGTAAATAAGGAACTAGGAACAGAGTGGCATGAAAATAATCTTACAAATAAATTAATGTCATCTGCCTTCATAAAGAAAAAAATATTTTAAATTTATAATAATTTCATTTACCTGCCCAGGTTTTGCATTTTCACAAACAAATGTTTCATAATACATGGCAAATTCCGGAGCATGATCATTAATATCCAGAATTCTGATGAAGACTGGAATATGGCTACTTTGTTTTGGATTATCTGCAACAAGAACATGTGTAAGATTTCAGGCTCATTTACAGAGAAGAACTAAAACCACTTGCCCATTTGTAGCTTAGCAACAGATCAGTTCTGGGGTATTCACTTTCTTAGCTGATGCTGATGAATACATCAACATGGTCCACAGGGAAAGCACAATAATAAGATGAAATATCACTAAGAATGTAGTACTCTATTTTTATAGATTGGTTAATAATTTTTATGAGATTAGATTATGTTTCTATCCTACTCTAAATTATAAAAAATAAAATTTTAAATAAATGAGTGATTCAATAATCCTTTAACCCCAAACTTTTGAAATAATTTCTCTAAAATATTTCTCACAATGTAGCCATTCTACAGGAGAGAAAGAGTCAACTTAAGACATTACCTGATCACTTTGGTAAAAGATAATGCATTCAGATAGATGTGTTGACAACTTACTTATTTCTGTGGCTGTAATAGTGATGTTGTGCCAAGGGGATGATTCCCGGTCAAGAGGCTTCAGAGTGAAAATAGAGCCATTTTCTGAGTGGATACTAAAAATTCGGTCCATATCAGTATTCCGATCAACAGAGTATCTGGCAGAAAAGAGACTCATAAATTCTGGCATTATTTTAAGATTATTAGTTCTTCAAATATTTCTTAAAGTTATAGGGACTTTCCTCAATGATCTGACAAAGGCATGAAATATAAAGTGCTGATAACGTTCTGGAATCTTTTTATTCTAATTTGTTATATATGACAGCAGAATGCATTACAATTCAAATTACACATATAGAGCATAATTTTTCATATCTCCGGTTGTATACAAAGTAGAGTCACACCATTCGTGTCTTCATATATGTACTTAGGGTAATGATCTCCATCTCATTTCACTGTCTTTCCTGTCCCCATGCCTCCTCCCTTCCCCTTTCACCTCTTTACTCTATCTAGAGTTCATCTAATACTCCCATGCCCCACCAACCTCTCTATGAATCAACATCCTTATATAAGAGAAAACATTTGGCATTTAGATTTTTGAGATTGGCTAACTTCACTTATCATTATATTCTCCAACTCCATTTACCTGCAAATGTTATGATTTTATTCTATTTTAATGCTGAATAGTATTCCATTGTGTATATTTACTACATTTTCTTTATCATTCATCAACTGATGTGCACCTAGTTTGGTTCCACTGTTTAGCCACTGTGATTTCTGCTAGTATAAACATTGATGTGGCTTGGGATCTTTATCTCATAAACAATCTTATATAATTGTTTCCAATATTACTATTGTATTAGTATGCACACTAAAGGCATTATTTATGGTTATGAATTTTTGTGCAGTGAGTTATTGTCACTTGAATCATTTATTTTATCTTAGCATTTAATATAAACATAATAGTATTGTTGAATCAGATAGAGTCAATATCATTGAGTAAATGAAATATACTCTAAAACTTAAAAACAATATGAATATGTATTCAAAGAGTACATATTAATATAGAGAAGGCTATCATAAATGCATTGTTCTTGAATGGTTTTCTATTCAAGTAACATCTCAGGTGAATAAAAGGTCTTACTCTAATCTATGCGTCAACTTATTACACATAAAAATCTAATCTCAAATACCACAGAGTTCTGTGATTTTCCCATCAAGGATAAATACGGCACATGTTATCCCAAGCTTTATTTTACGGTTGCCAAAATAATGTCTCCTTTCCCAAAGAGTTTCATACCCTAATCCCCATGAATATGTTACTTTACATGGCAAAAATAACTTTGCAAGTGTGATTAAGGCTGAAAACATTGATACAGAAGATTTTTCTCAATTATGCTGATGGGTAAAAACTAATCGTAAGAGTTATTAATAGTGAAACTGGAGGGAAGATAAAAAAGTGGTCTAGGAAGAGGAGACAAGCAAAGAGGAGAGAATTAAGGGGTGATAAGGAAAGATTTATTGTGGATGGCTTCAAAGATGGCGGAACAAGGAATGGAATGAAGGCAACCTGTAGAATCTGGGAACAGTCTTTAAACTGACAGTCAATGATGAAACAACAAACTGGCTCCACAACTGCAAGGATTTGAAATCTGCTAGCCACCAGAATGGGCAAGAAAACAATTTTCTCCTAGAGTCTGTGGAAAGAAACATGGTCCTGTCTACAATTACACCTTTACTCATGGTCTGGTGAGGTGCACACCATAATTTTGACCCACAGAACTACAAGAAAACAAACTTGTGTTTCTTTATTTAAGTTGTTAGTGTTGTGATATGTTCTTATTGCAGCAACAGAAAACTAATACACTCTCTAAAGATTTGTTTTAAAGAGCTGTCTTAAATTCAAGATGGTAGATAGATCCAATCTTGCTATGCATGACTAGCTAAAATTTGAGATTTCTGTTTCTGAGTTTTTCAGGAGCCATATAGGAAAGGGAATGTTTCTCAAACACCATCATTCACATGAATCATGGGTAGTTCTTAATAAAACAGGATTTGATGGGTTGGTGGTATAGCTCGTTGGTAAAGTACTTTCTTAGTATGCATGAGGCCCTGGGTTTGATCTGCAGATTGCAACAACAGTAAACCCTAGAATTTGCAATAGTAGGTCTATTATGGGAGCTGGGATTCTGCATTTTTGACAAACTGAGGTGAATCCTATCTTGGGCAAAGCCTACATTCAAATACAGCCTATTGGATAAAGTTCTCAGAATGAAGACAGAAGAACAACCATGAAAGACAGAAAACATAAAAATCAGCATCTGGTTCAATTCTCATTTTTATATGTGTCTCATTAAAGATATTTAACAAATGAATTCCCTTTGATTATAATATATTAGAAAACTTAACTACCCAATTATAATTCTGTATGAGTCATTCTGGCACTAACTTTGAAAAACATTATGCAGTCATGGTAGTGGATGCCTGTAATTCCAGTGCTCAGGAGGATGAGGCAGGAACATCACAAGTTCAAAGCCAGTCTCAGCAAAAGTGAGGCACTAAGCAACTCAGTGATATTCTGTCTCTAAATAAAATACAATATAGGGCTGGGGATGTGGCTCAGTGGTTGAGTGCCCCTGAGTAAAGTCCTTGGTACTCCTCTCCCATAAAAACCAAAAAAATATTAATAATACATTTTTAAAGATTCTAAACATCATGAAAAGTTGGCAATTTCAATATTGTTGGACAAAAACATGTTTATTTAAATTGTACTTTTTTTGGGGGGGGTGTTGTTTTAATAGAGGCTACACGAGTTGATCTATTGTTATAAAAGCTCTGCTGAACTTAAGAAATCCAAAAAGAAAATCTAGATCTTGAAAATAATTTTAACATTTAATGTAGTTCATAAAGGTTCTTTCTTTCCTAGTTTATTTTAAACTATGTTAAATGAATGTTTTAAACTCAGAAATACTGTTTCAAAGACAGTATTTGGGGCACTGAAAAAAATATATTGTGTTTTATCTCAAAGGTAGAATTTTGGAAAAGTTTATAGTCTCAGATTTCTTTCTGCACCTTATTCCTAACTCATGGAACAGTTTAGTCACTCTTTTTCCTTTGGAAGGACTGTGCAATGGGGAAACTGAGGTGAATCCTATCTTGGACAGAAATGGAAAAACCTCCTCATTTTTTCAATAATCACTGAAATTTTCCTACATAAGAATTTGGGAGATTAAAACAAAACTGATTTGATTTATGATCATTTAACAGGAAGTAGTTGTAATTCTAGAGTGGGAAACACTAAGGAGACACAGGACAATTAGAAATCTATATATATATAGCAATGAACGTATAAAAGAAAAAAAAGGAAACAAAACTACATCAGATTTCTAAAAATAGTTCTCTGTTACATACTTATCTGCAGTAGATCTGATTTTTAAAATCATTACCAATACACCTAAGTTGAAGATGTCAGGTATTTCGAATTGTGTCTTTTTAAACTTTATTGATTAATTGTGCTAACAAAATTTTGAGGTTTTTTTAATCCATAAGTTTCAGCATTTCTAAAATTTAGTTCCCAATGTGGGCTGTTTTTACCTTTGGGATCACATCTCTATTATAAGGTATTTAGGAGAAAGACAAAGAAAATTACTGCAATATTAAGTATGCTTTATTTTCCTTACATACACCAAATTCTATTTATGAGTAAAAGCAAACATGAAATGCACACAAGGAAAGCAAAAAAAAAAAAAAAAAAAAAAAAATGACCACATCTTGTGTGGAATGAAGCAATTACAGTATCCTCTGTAGGTGCGTCTCTTCATTGTTGGAAAGGTCAACAGTCAGCCATTATCTATTTCTGTCTGAATAGATCTTGAACTTTTTTTCTACTGTTTCCATTAGATCAAAAAGGAAAATAAAATTTTCTTTTATCCCCATGGTTACTTTCCCTAGAGATTATCATGTGCAGTCTGTGAGGAAGGAATAAGCAACAATTCTAAAAGTATTAAAGTCAAGGTTTGACCCTCTTGTAGCTTAGTAGGATCAAAATGGATGTGTTTCTGTCTGCCCCTACTCCAAGGTTTAACCCTGAAAGACATTGCTTTTTAAGTTAAGAATCATAAAGGAAAATCACTTTAACAATTTAGAAATAGCTTACTTTGTTAATGATACAGGTCTATATTTAGCAAATTTCGTCAGCGCACATGATGCCTTACTATTTGTCAAAAGCCCAAAGTAATTTTCTTTTATTTAACAGCCAAGTTCTATTTTCAACACAGAATAGGAACATTCTGGTTTACCTATTAATAATAAATACATTGGATTACAAAAAAAACAGCAGAAAGAGCTTGATAAACACTTAACACAGAAGAAAACCTCTCTCTCTGTCCCAGCAGATGGCCTATAATAGCAGTAATACATTATTGATTTCTGATTTCCCTACACTGAATGTTGAACGGTAAGTTACAAAAGAACACCGGCATAATATTTTTGGTGTATGAATGCCTGTTCTAGAAAGATGATCCAACCATTGGGAGTCAAATAACAAGTGAAATAAAGCAAAGAGAACTGAACTTGTAGCCAATCTCTAGATTCCATTTTTTGTTTGCTTTCCATTTTCATATTCTACCATTAAAAATCAAACCCATATCATATACCTGAAATTTTTTACTAAAAAAATTACAAGTAAAAAGGAAACTGAGTTAAGACAGGAGGCCAAATCAGTAATATGCTATAATAGCTTATCATTACATTATTTTTCCTTTATTGGATTCATGTTACTTCTTTCAATAAGTCAGTAGAGTCCTGATATGGATCTACTCTTTCCATTCTAGCTTCTACTTATGAATTTTCCATAGCTGAGAACCATGAAATGATTAAAAACACGAATGTTTGTTATATGATGAAATTACTTATAATTCTTTTTCTCTATTTTTATGTGTTCTTTTTAGTTATAGAGTCTACTTTGACTTATTTATATAAAAACATGGAATATATCTTATTCTAATTAAGATCACAGTCTTATGGATGTACATAATGTTGAGATTCACTGTTGTGTATTCATAGATGTATGTAGGAAAGTTATGTCAGATTCACTCCACTGTCTTTCTTATTCTTATCACCACCTCTATTCCCTTAATTTCCCTTGGGTTAGTATTTA